GTGTTTTTTTTGGGGGGGGGATTTCTTTTTAAGTCATTTGTCAATCAAAATGAGAACAAAATAGAAGGAAAAAACCTATCTTAAAAAATAGAACTGGAAGGTCTGGGGATTTAGCTCAGTGTCACAAGCATCTGCCTGGCAAGTGCAAGGTGGTAAGTTGGATCCCTAGTATCAAAAACAAAAACAAACAAACAAACAAAAAAAAACAAAACAAAGACAAAAACAAAACTGCCCACGTGTGGTGGTGTATGCCTGAATACCAACACCCTGGGAGGTGGAGGCACAGCACTATCTCTTACCTGAATGAAAATATTGCTTTTATGAGGTATTTATCTTATTTATCTTTACAAATATATTTAGAAGTAACATAAGATTTAAGAATACTACAATTTTTACAATTTTACTATATTACAAGTTTTACTATCACTTTTATGTGTTTACAATCACTTTTGTTTGACTTTTAAATAAACCATAAGCTGGAGTAATTGAACAGGGTACTTTAGCTACATAATTTCTATCCCTTAATTCTATGTTTTATACTTATTTCCACAGCTCCAAGTTGGCTGCCTCTAAGGCAACAAATATGCCCAACTTTTGATGAACAAAGTGCTAGGAGTTAAGATAAAGAATAATGCTGTTACTTCCCATAAACTTGCTTTTGGACATAAAAGCAATCCAATTTGGCAGTAATGAAGGCACTTTGGATGTTAGCAGGAAGCTTGTCTGCAGTTTGTGGTTGCCTTTTTAAAAATCTAGCTCAGGTTTAGAAATGCAGGAGGGAGAATCTCCAGTCCTTGTCTGAAGATTACACTCTGTGTCCTACAGGGATCTTTGCAGAAGGCAGAGTGGAGAGCCAGGAGGACAGGAGGGGTGGGGAGGGCGGAACTCTGTGGTAGAGTCTGCAGGCAATTGATATAGGGCTTTCACAACAGTGAAGGGAGGAAGAGATTAATTAAAGGATGGAATAGTCACATATTTTCCATGGCTAGGAGGAGATTTTCCAAAAATTCAGATGAGCCTCCTTTTATGGGTCTTTCAGGTCCTTGTCATGGTTCTCGGGCTGAGTCCCTTAGCATTCAGATGGGATTGGAATGGCTTTAGAGGGTGTCCAGGGTTGCTCTGATGGTCTCTGACCTACCCACTTTGAGTTGGCATCAGAAGAGACACCTCTAGCCTCTTATTGTCAAAGGAAAATAAGATTAGGGTAAGGAAGAAATTCAGCCAAGTCGCCAAGGCAGTGCACCTTTAAACGAAATTAACATTGGGCAAGATGTTCTATTGTTTACTTTTTGTATCAGATCTTGGATTCTATAAGCATGAAAGAAGTAAAGGAGGTCCGTTCCTCCCTAAAATCTATCCCCTCTTTTCTTAAATCTCAAGGACATGGATGAGAACAAACACCAAGGTTAACGCTTTCCCATCTCTGGTTCCCACAGGGTCCCTTGAGAAACAGTTTCCACCCTCGCTGAGTTCCCTGAATCAGCACGGGCGCCCTGTGAAGAGGACGTTGTGTGGTGACATTAGGATGTGGCTGGGAGGAGCACAGCGGCAATCTTAAGATTTCTGACATTCTCTGTCACTATATTCTTATTCTTCCATGAGCTTAAATACAATTTTTAAAGAATTTCCAAATATCTGTGCACCCAAAGGACCTCCAGGGAGAATTAATAGAGCAACCCAGGGCCTCTCTCCCCAGATTTTCATCTCATCATCTGTGCAATGAAAATAAGGGTAAAGGAAACCTCAGGGGAACCCTTTTCTTCCTGGACTGAAACTCCATTTCCTCCCAAGGCTGCACACCTGCCCCTGTGACCCCAGGCAGTGCCTTCTGAGGGACTTCAGGTGTTTCAGGGAATTCTTCGGTATCGCACAGCACATACTAGCATGACCAGGATAAGAAAATGGAATATTCTGTCCTCCTCTTCCGGACCCTTCTATTTCCAAACAACTAGCGGCATGATAATTATGTTGATCTTTTAGAAGAAGACAGGAGGAGACCTAGTCCAGCAGCAGCTATTGAAGCCACATCTGTTACTCCAATTCAGCAGCTCTGCTAATGCCCTACTCCTTCCAAAGCACAGGAGGTGCCAGTGACCATGGGAGTCTTGTTGTTGTTCTAATGGACTAACTTGGATTTCTGACAAGAACTTACTGAAATATTGGATCTGAAGATGTCTAGAATACAGCTTGGCACTTAGAAGCCAGTTGATAAAAATGTGCATTTTATAAAGGATAGCTGATTATTATATTTATTTGTTAAAATAAAAACCCTTATTTCACAGATTCTGTTTTGCAAAGCATTGCATTCCTAAGGTTTGAGACTTTAAGAACAGTTTTATATTTGTTTTTGTTTTTTGCTTGAAGTCAATAACCTTCATTATCATCGGGCAAAGAAATTCCCTGTATATCCACATAGGGGACAGAGCTGAGCATGGAGAGTCCAGGCTGTACAAAGCCATGTGAATTTTACAGCTGATGCACTGAAGGACAGTGATGGTGTGATATAATTGGGAGGTCTCCTACATGGTAACATGATATCTGACTTATATGGCTACACGCTCCTAAGAGTTGTCTTTAAATCCTAGAGGAAAGTACAATGCTTTCAAATAAATTCTTATGAACTGCAATTTTTTAGTCACAAACATAGATACAAGCAGTTGAAAGCACTACTATTTCTCATAACTTCTTCAAGCACTCATGAGTTAGCATAAAGACCTCGCTTGAATGCACGAAGTGCTAAGAAATTCAATCATATCTCCATCAGATTGTACCTCTCTGGAAGCAGCAACTTGCAGAAGGAAGAAAACAGAGCTGCCTCGAGGAATAGTTCAGAAATAACCGCTTAACAACGTGAGCAGTTTCACCAACACGAAGACGCAGGTGAGAAAGGCAAAGATGACAATAACACCAGTGTGCTGAGTGGATGTCCTCTCTCGGGAGAGAGCCGGTGACTCGTGCTTCCCGTGTGGCTTCCAGCTCGGTGAGGGCTGGTGCTGAGGATAGGGACCCTGGGCCTTTCACTAGGATGCAGGTATGCCAGGCAGATGGACAGATGGAGCACTGTTCGGGTCCCTCACAGGTGACAGACGCCTGGCACCCCTGTGCTCCAGACCTCAGATCCCTGATTCTAAATAAGGGCCACCCGCAGTGTTGAAAAGTACAGGTGTCCAAGCCCCACCCTAGAATTGCTAAGTCAGAATATTAGTGGTACGCGGGTGCAAACCTCGTCTCTGCGAGCCAGCAGCCCACTCCTTCCCACCGGGATGCTTAGGGCGCCTGCAATGCTGAGGGGTTTTTGTTGTTGTTGTTGTTTGTTTGTTTGTTTTATCTTTCTTCTTCTCTTCCTCCTTCTCCATCTTTTTATTTTTCTTATTCCTTTCCCTTATTCTCCCCTCTCTTCTTCTTCTTGTTCCTCTTTCTCCTCTTTCTGCTTCCTATCCCCTTCCGTTCCTCTTCTTCCTCCTCCTCCTCTTCTTCCCATTCTTCTGCTTCTTCTCTTTCTTCTTGAGACTCTAAGGCTGCAGATTGAACCCCCAGGGCTCTACACTAAGCTACATCTTCACTCCTTTTTCCTTTTTTTTTTTTTTTTTCCTTTTTCCACACAGGCTCTTGCCAAGGTGCCAGGTCAGACTCAAACTTTTGATCCTCCTGTCTCAGCCTGTCTGGAAGCTGCAATTACAAGTATACCAGGTGGACCTGAGTTAAGGCCACTTTCAAGCACTTGCAGTTTAGGGTGAACTAGCTGAAAGCATATTTCGAAGGGGAATAGGAGCAGAGTTCATCACTGTAACTGTGGAAAGATCCAAGTACAAATTTCTTTTCTTTATTTTTTTTGATACCAGGGATTTAATTTATGTGCCACTGAGCCATATCCCTGGCTCCCAAGTACAAACTTCAGAAAAGGATGAGCTTATTGTCATATGTCAGGACTAGGGAAGCTTATGAAGACATAAAATTTTACAGAATTTAACAAACTGTACAATCTCCCAGCTCATATTTTTACAAATAAGCTGTAAAATAGTACATTTCTGTAACAATTTGAAAGATTCTTCCAAAGTTTATAGACTGTAAGAAAAATAAAAGTCAAGTAAAAAGATTCCAAAAAAATCCCTTACCTCCAAATGGATAATGATTAATTTGTAGAGAAAGAAATAACATTTCACAATATTTACAAAATGTACAATGTTGGCAAATCCCCTTCCACATACTTCCTATGACACGAGCATCGGAATGGCAGCAGTGTTTTACAGAATTAGAGGAAAGTAGAGAATAATTAGCTTCTAAAGATGAGGAAACCATGACCAGAACCCAGGATCCTGCGCTATGACCTGTTTGTGCAGTGTTAAATAGTCCATTAATACATCTCAGCACTTCTTGGAAAACAAGAGGAATTTGACCCATTATGTCACAATTGCTGTTTCTGCATTCAGAGAACTTAAATGTACAAACTGTGTTTCCCACAGCAAAAAACAATCTCCCCATGTCCTTCAAAAAGCCACAGAAGAGTCCATGGGGCTCTTCCATGTCCTTCAAGAAGCCATGGGGCTTCCCATCCCTCTGAATGGGATATTGATCCCAATACCTGGGATCAATCAGTGTGAAGGGCAAGGGTTCACTTAGGCTCACGGCTTAGAGGCTGCAGTCTGGGACTAATTGGCCCTGTTGCCTTGGGCCTGTGGCCAGGGTTGTGCCCCTTAGGAATCTAAAATCAATGATCTAATAAATGGGGATCAAGGGGAAGGAGGGCCTGGCACCCTCACTGCCCTTCTGGAGCACACAGCGGGAGTCTAAAACCATTCATTAGGCCTCCATCCTCTCTCAAGAGCATCTTCTGGGGACCAAGACTCTAACACACAATTCTTCCAGGATAGTCTGTAGCCAAAGTATGAAAATCTTCTTGCTAACTGTTTCTTAGGTTCCAAAATCTTCTGTTTTCTTTTTTCTTTTCTTTTCTTTTCTTTTCTTTTCTTTTCTTTTCTTTTCTTTTTTCTCTCTCTCTTTCTTTCTTTCTTTCTTTCTTTCTTTCTTTCTTTCTTTCTTTCTTTCTTTCTTTCTTTCTTTCTTTTACTTGAATTGAACTCAGGACCTCACGCCTGCAGGCAGGTACCACACCCCTGAGTTTTACCCCCAGCCCCCAAACCTTCCTTGAGGACATGCAGAATATGTGAATTTTCTCAAGCTCTCTTGCACGTTCTCCTAAAACTCTACTGCAGGAGGCTGGGATCTGCTTAGGTCTCCCCTCCTCTGTCACTCCATGAAGTTGGAGCCAGTCTGCTGCTCCCACGTCCTGGCTGCATAGACAATTGCTCTTAAACTATAAGGCCCCAGTGTTCTAAATAAAATATGAAACATTAGTGACCAATTAGTGATCCCCAAATTTCTCACTGAAGTTTTACCAACATCCGTAATCTATGTTTGACAGAGGCGAGATCACAGCCAACATCCAAATGGTTGAGACTTCTTTGTTTTATTTTTTTACCTACAGTGCTCACCCCAGCAGCACAGATACTAAAATTAGAACTTTTCTACCTACAAACTGTGTTGAATTTTTTTAAACATAAATAAATAAAAGGAATAACTTTTGGCTTCATTGATTTTTCTCTGTTTTCCTCTTTTCTATTTCTTTGATTTTCACCATGATTTTATCAATTTCTATCTTATTTTTTGGTATTTGATTTGATAATTTTATTTTTCTGGCTGTGTGTGTTTGTGTGTGTGTGTGTGTGTGTGTGTGTGTGTGTAAACTGAGAACTGAACTCAGACATCGCACTTGCCAGGTAGGTACTTATGCTGCTCAATTACCTACCTAACCCTTTCCTAGCTTCTTAAAGTAGAAACAGATTGTTGATTTTTGAACTTTTTTTCCTTTCAAGTGTAAGTACATAAGGTTATAAATTTACCTCTAAGAACAGACTCCCTTGTCTATATTTTTTTTCACCAATGTACACTGCCGTAGCAGGAGAAAAGACGTAGTATGATTTAAACCACTCCAAGTTATTAAAACTTGTCTATGTCAAAGTGTAAGATCTATCCCAGAGAATGACCCCTGTGCACTGAAAAATCTGTGGCTTGAGCCATTGTGCAGTGGAAAAGGTCTCTATGTCAGGTCCAGTTGGATTATAATTTGCCTAAGCCTCATGTGTCTTTATGGGCCTTAACATTTGTCCCCTTGTCGATGACTGAGAAAGGAATATTGAGATCACCACTCATGACTGTTGAGTAGGTAATTTCCTTACACTCTGTAAGTTTTTGTTGAATTTGCTCGGGATTCTGTTTTATATACATATGCATTTATAATTGTTAAAGCTTATACACTGGGCATTTTATCAACAGGAAAAGTGACGCTCTGTCTTTAATGCAATTGATTTAAAGTGCACTAACATTAAAGCAGCGACACCGGCTTCTTTATAGCTGCTGTTTGCACAGCGTATCTTTTTCCATCGTTTTAAATTCTACTTATTTATGTACTTCACCCTAAAGTAGTTCTCTCATGTGAAGCATTGTATTGGATTTCCTTTTCCTTTTCCTTTTATAACCAGGGATCTTTGCTTTTCCACTGGAGCATTTAATCTACACTTAGAGCAGTTGCTGTTGTGATTTCATTTACGTTTTGCAATTTTTTCCATTTATCTCACATCTTTTTGTCCCTGTGTTTATCGTATAATTTAATTCTTAATTGGCTTCATTTTTTCATTGAACATTTTTAAAGAATTTATTGACACAGATTAACTGTGGACATTGATGGAGTCCTGGGTGATATTTCCACTCATGCATGGGGCATGCGTGTACATTATCCAGGTTTCTTTCCCACAGACCACACACACTCCTGCTCGCTACTGTTTCTGGTAGGAAGTCAGTTCCTCATCACATTTTCCCCTGCGCTGTGGGCATTTGCATTTGCTCAACCTTCAGAAGCAGAATCCTGATGTCTAAAGCAACATTAGCAGATGGAGTGTTTGGGAGATAATTGGGTCACGAAGTGGAAGACTTCATGAACAAAGTGAACGCCCAGGTAGAAGAGCTGCTTCACCTCTCCTGTAAGAATACAAGTGAGGCCTGCATCCCCAGAAGAAAACTCACCAAAATCCAATTCCAGCTCCTCTGGCTCCCCTCACTGTGGGTAGTCCGTTGGATTTCTCCTGTGCCCTGCTCCTCCTTCACCTGCAGGGTGCATCTCTGATTCTCTCTGTCCCTGCCTGTCCCTTCTACACTTAGGATTACACTGGATCCTTCTGGATCTTCCAGGACACCCTCTGTAGTGCAGAGCTGGTGGCAGTCTTAATTCTGTTCACATCTCTCCATTCCTCCTTCCCATGTAATACCACATTCAGAGGTTCCAGTTACTAAGGGTTGGATCTCTTTGGGAGGTCATTGTTTAGCCGACCACCACAGCAGGACCTACTGGTTTGCTGCAAAACCCAAATGGATTTAAATGGAAAACATAAATTAGTGCCACCAAATCAGTGACCAGTACTTAGCTGTTATTGCTGTTATTACCCAGCTTCTCATATCAGGATGAGGCAGGGGACAAATGAGATTGGGGAAATTGTGGGGGTGCGTAGATCAAGGTGGTCCTGCCGCACACTCCATGAAACCATACTTGGAAATGTCAGAAGAATAACTTTCAACCAGAAGTCACAAGCTGTCACTTAACCCTGTATGGCTTTTTTTTTTTTTTCTAATTTTCATTCCACATAGACCAAATCAATACAAGAGAGTTAGCTGAGTAGTTGAGGGAGGGAAAACTTAAAATCCTATTAAATTTTCTAATCCTCAGATTGTCACCAAAGTAAACAGAGTGACAGGTATCCAGAATCGTTTATTCTTTCTGTTCTCATCAGGATTTAATACAATCCAACCTCGGCACCCTAAGGAATTCAGAGACACATACAGCTTTCAAGTAAGATCAGGCGCTCCTTGTTCTAGCCAGGCGGGGCCTTCATCTTTTCATTCCTCCTTCCCCTGGAGGGCTGGACCAGGAGCATGCAGCAGTTAGAGGAGAAGGTGTTATCCTCAGGCTAAGGATGCTCAGGCCAGCTAAGCCAGAGAGAATATTAAAGAATCAAAACTAGAACTGTGGCACATTCATTTCTACTTTATTACTTTCTCTTTCATGAAAACGCTTCTTTCTTTCATATAAAGCTAAAAAGAAATATCTTTTTATATGTACATATACATGCACACATATTTGGTACCTAATCATGTTCAATAAGTATATTTTTCCTCATAATTAAATATAGTTACGTCCATGTAACTACATTGTTTTAAGGCTAATTTGTTTAAGTAAAAGCAAATATTACAAATATATTTGGTATATGGAAAGAATATCACAAAACAATACAGTTTATAAGTAAGTACTAAGCTTTGAACAAACATGTAACACAAGGAAAGTATTGCTCTGAGGCAGGTGTGTACCATCAATATAACAAGCACCTGTTTCCACAGTTAGGTAAAAGAATATTTTGTGTGCCTATATCTTGTAATCTGAGCAACTACTTGAAGATAACATGTTCAAAGTATTAACCACTGTTGACTCCATAATAGCTTGTTTTGAAATTCTGCACCATTATTTCTATTGCTTTTTTTTTCTTTAAAATAAAAAAGCAATCCTTTGGAAAGTAAATGGATGGATTTGCAAAATATAAACATAGATTTTTAGAGATTAAAAATCAGGTTAATAGAATAAAAATATCTAATAATTGTTTTTCTTTAAAATATAACAAAATATATAGATCATTAGTATATCAAGAAAGCAGTAAAATTTTAAATATAAAATATTAGATTGTTTTTGTGAAAACAACCATAGAAAAGAAATTAGTAAAATCTTTCATAGAAAAGAAATTAACAGAATCTTTTCTTCTTCTTCTTCTTCTTCTTCTTCTTCTTCTTCTTCTTCTTCTTCTTCTTCTTCTTCTTTTTCTTCTTCTTCTTCTTCTTCTTCTTTGGTACTGGGGATCAAACTCACAACTGCATGCTTGCAAGGCAGGCACTTGTGCTGCTGAACTAAACCACCAGCCCAATTAACAGAATCTTGAGAGAATATTTTGCCCAACTCTAATTGGAGGCAATTAAAATTTGTATGAAATGTCTTTCTGAAAAAATTTAACTTAAAATTGAAACCAAAAATACTGCACAATATTACCAAGTTAACATTGTTATTCTGAAGTATCATTATAAAGTTATTTTCCCCAAAATCAAAAGTTCAAATGATTATGTTTTCTTCCATACCTAAAAAGAAAAAGAAAAAAGAAAGATGATGATGCTAGTGACAATATTAAAAAATAGAAAAGAAACCACGCCTGGCAACACAGACCTGTAATCCTAGCATTCAGGAGGCTGAGGCAGGAGGACTGTTGTTTGTTTGAGGCCTGGGCCACAAAAAAAAGTCCAAGTTCAGCTTGCCCTAAATAGTGAGATCCTATCTCAAAAACAAAACAAACAAACAAACAAAATGAAAAATGAAAATAATCACTTTTTAAAATATAATTATAATAGAGACTCAGAACTCAAAGGCAGTAGTAGAACAAAGCTAAGTAGAAACCATTCTTAATGATTATGGATATAAAGATAATGGCAAAGAAAACATTATAGCACATTCAATTTGTAATGCACCATGGGAAGTCTCACCTTTTCTAAGAAGGCCAGGGTGGCTAAGGGCTAGTACTATATCCATATTACAATCTTCAATATCGATAACTAGGTGAAGAAAATCATATAGCAATATCCATAGATACTGAACCGTATCTATGAAACAGGAAAATTCCAGAGAAATTATCAATATTTTCAATAATATGGAAATAAAAAGACATTTCAATTAGCTATATAAATCACACTTAATTTTGAAATATTTCATTCTAGTTAATACAAAAATAAAGGAACTATATCCTTTATCACCATCGTAGTTAACATTATTCTGGATGAATTACTTAGTGGACTCAGATCAGAGGAAAATGGAGAACTTTGGAAAAGGAGAATGAGGAAAGTTAGGGTGTCTTTTAGTTTTTCAGGTTGGGGTCAAGCCTAAGGAACTGTGTATGAGAACCAAGCCCTCTCCTGCTGAATTACATTTCCAGTTCATCAGGTTTAGGCTACATTATCCTCTTTCAGGAGGAAACAAAATATAAGAAGCAGCTAAAAATAGAAAATCTCTAGGCAGAAAAATGAATTTCTGTGCAGAATGAAATCTACAGAAATCAATATCTTTCTTTCAAGCCATAGTTCATTTAAAAGAAAGCAAAAAGAAATCAAATAGCAAAAAACAAAGTTAAGAAGCACACAAAACGTACATCAAGAAATTTTTCAGTGCCAAAAATTTTTTAAAAATGGAACAATCATGAAGGCTAAACCCGTTTTTGAAACCTCACATCACAAGGCGACCAGAAGACCAGGACAAGGGGCAGAGCCCTGAGACAGCCAAATAAACTGAGTAAGCTGAAGGCCAGGACCTAGGTCCTCAGGAAACTAGAGCACAAAGGACAAAAGATCAGTCCTTGAGTAAGCTAGAAGGAGCCTCAAAGAACTAGAATGCAAAGGACAAAGAAATAACAAAATCTGTGCACCACAGGAACCTTGGCAAGCAGCAGCTCCCATGTATTTTCCAATTTCTCTGCTCCTGTCTGGCCTTTCTTGTGCCCAAAAGCTGTACCCAGACATCCAGGTTCTGATGCTTCCCTGTTCCTCCTGGTCCATCCGTCTAGTGAAGGCTTTTCTGGGTTCTTTGTAATAAATGACTCCACCGCTTCACTGCAGGTCTCAGGGTCCGCTCTTCTCGAGGTCCTCTGGAAACAACCCCAGGGAGAGAGCGGGTCACAACGCCATGTGGCCACCAAGGCTTCACATCAGAAGATGGGGATTCTCATCTGTCAACTTCCACATTTTTAAAATTGCAACATAAAACCACAATGTAATTTTGGAAGTAAACATTTGACGCTAAATTTCACAATAGAAATCATAAGAGGGTTGTTATTCCTAGGAATTTAGAGCTGAAAGAAGTCTACCCCTATTGTAACATCACAAATCTTTTTCTGCTTAGAAATCTAGTCTAGGCCTGACCCTCACAAAAAGAAGGAAGAAGTACAGATGGTATCTTCTCTGGTGGATGCAAGAAGACAGAGTCATCAGGCAAGAAGTAAGAGGAAGTCACACACAGTTTCAGCGACCAGCTGAAAATGGAGGTGGAACAGTATCCAGACAGTAAATCGCTGCTGGCCCCAGAGTCAGGGATCCTTTGCGTTTATCCACAGCTGCTTTCAAGAGACCTTCAGTGGCTGTTCCTGAGGAAAGGCCCGTGGTTAGGACAAGCCAGGAGAGGAGATAACCAGCAGCTCTGGGGGTGAAGATAGGGAGAAAGGGGTAATTTCTGCTGCAGAGAGAGAAAAGCATAACTCCAATCAGAGGGAAAAAGCTACCATAAACAGGGGAAGGAAGAAAAGATTTCTAATAGCTTATCCTCAGAATACATGTGTGTGATAACACTATGCAATGAAATTTTTTAAATTATGTGAGAAAAAATTTCTCAACCCAGATATGTACATTTACAGAAAATATCCTTCAATGAGGAAAGTGAAATATCTTCTCAGACATGCAGTGAGCACTTCCTGCCGTAAAATTAATTGCTGAATAACTACATTAACATTAAAGGATTATGTGAGGTACAGAAAAATATTCCAGGTCACTGATCTATAGTTTACTTTAAAACCGAGGAAAAGAAAACAAAGTAAACCAAAAGTTAGATTTAAAAAAAAAAGTATGATGCAATTCATGAGCTTCTACAAAACAAAGGAAGAAAAAGAGAGAGAAACATACATACAAACCATATCTACACCTCACAAATATTAAAGTGGAAAGGCCAGCAGACACTCAACTTATAGACATGCAATAAATATATGGTATGGAGCACAAAAATTAAATTAGAAAATAGAAAAAATATATTGGAAAACTTCCCTGCCTGGTGAGGTCATTATCTTCCCAGATGGAGCCCGAGCAATGAGAACAGAGAGATTGTTCAGAAAACAGTGTTATGCAACTTTTTGAAAAACTAGAAGCTTACTGAAAAATACATTTGATGCTCTCTTGTACTTGCACAGGTGAAATTTTGATGTGTTAAGGATATGAAAATGTGAAATATAATACCCTGTTGTTTATAAATAGACATGAGAAAGTGTCCAGCATAGAATGAAATATTGATAAATACACATACATCAAAAGTAAATATTTTTATTTTACACAAGTATTTTGAGAGCAAGATTATGAGAAAAAATGCAAGGGAAAAGCCCAGCAGGCCAGTGTTATCTGGAGAATGTTTCTTACACATTTGAAAAACACTTTGAGCTAATTAAAACAAAAAAGCAATACATATGACAAGGAAAGAACACTTCGTACATTAAAAGCCACATGAGGAGATTTTAAATCTCCTTAACCACCGGAGAAGTGCAATGTGGAACAGTTACCACTGTCTTGAAGACCATTAACCCATCCTTCTGGCCACATCGTGAAGCAGTTCTGGATGTCTTCTTTCATCCGTGTCCTCAGCTGTGCCGTTTTGGTTGTCTCCGTGTCTGAATCAATCCAAAGTGCTTATCTTGCATGGATATTTTGACTTTGGAGAACAGCCCAAGGTCACATGGTACCAGATGCCTTGCAGAAGGTAGATGCGGACACACCATAGTGTCTTTGCTTGACAGAAATTGTTGTACCCATTTTTGAACTGATTTGGGACCTTGAGAACATGAAGCAGGACTCCCAGGGCTGCTTCAGAACATGGAAACAACAATAGGCCCATTATGTTCAAAGCAAGGTGGGTTAATGGCCCTGTTTCTTCTATCACAATATTTTAAATGTTATTTAAACATTCATTGTGTTTTTATCACATCTCATCTACCCTAACTCAGCACTCTCTACCTACCACTCTTACATTTTTTATAATGTTCATTTTATTCCTATCCTTGAAAGTAATGCTATGGCTTTGTTAAGTCAGGATATCATAAGAAATAATTATCAGGATGGTAGCAACACCTGTTAGATCATATACCAGCTTTCTCACTTTTAAATAGCAAGGATCAGGAGATGCTAAGGGGCTCAAAGAATTCTCCATGGCAACGCCTCATGCAAATCAAGGTGCAGATGAGCTGCAAAGCTGATCTGTATGAGGACTGATTCCAATTACCATCTCTCCCCAGAGTGCTTTCACTCAGATAGTCACTTTAGTCTCAAAAGCTATTCACTTAAACTGTCCCTGAGATGTCATTACTCATCCTTCTCCACTATCCTCTCAGACTTCCATCAAAAAGCTCAGAATCATTACATTGAGAGCAATTTCTTTCCTCAGTCGGTGAATACACCTCACTTACCTGAGGGAGCCATTTCTGTCCTGCAAAACTCTTGCCAAAAGCTCACATAAGTGTAGTTGCTATTTCTGGACTCTGCAATTGGAGGGTCACCGAAGATTACCTTTCCTTAGGAGTGGACGTTTTGATCACGGCAAGGTCTTATGGAGGACAGTAATGTTTGTCCTCACTCTGCTCTGGAGCAGCTGTACAAGAACTGGAAAGTATGAGAAAAGATGATGTGAGAAGAACTCTAATTCCCTACATCAGGCTATCAAGTTATTAAAACTATTAGAAAGATAAACTATCAGAAAGATAAATTTTAGGTAGACAATATGAGCAAGGTTTTTTAAATCTACAAAATGTTAATAAACATACACAAACATTTCTTTGCTCAATATTTGAGTAAACAATTAATGAATGTGGATAATGACTAATAACGAGATGTTTATAACATTTATAGACTTTATAGAAACACTCCACACCCTTAAACTTGACAATATTCTCCATACCCTTAAACTTGACAAAAGGAAATACTTTAAGGAAATACTCTCGTGCATTTAGATAGGTAAGTTGAAAACTGCTTTTTTTTTTCAGATTTTATACTTAATAAAAATAATAACAACTAAAACACAGTTAATATGAATCAATACTGAATTTTATTCCACAAAGAAAGAAGATGGAGTGAATTATGGGTTTGTTTCATTTTTAATTATCTGTCAACTTCAAATGTCAGCAAGACGTTGCTATAATGGGCAAATAGCACTTTGTGTACAGTGTTTTCTTAGTCTCTACTACTCAGATGTACTATTGCACCATGTCAATCACAGGCGACAGGCAAACGGATGGGTGCATTTTGGTTCCAGTGTAACTCGATCTACAAAAACAGAGGTGACCAAAGGTAGTGTGTGATAGTTTGCCTAATCTTATCTGTTTAACAGTTATCTATCTGGTTAATCTCTTTGATTTATCTGTAAGGAATAAAATTACTTCAAAGTCCCCAACCTCACAAATGTGCCTCTTGTAATTGTCACCACGCTGATTTGTGGCATCTGCAGCACCCATCTGAGATTGCTTGTCTTCTCATTTCATGACTATGACTCGTCCTGGGTGTCAGTCTGCCCCTTCCATTGGACACATACTAGTTATGAATAGAATTGGTGGACTTTGTTTCATTTCACAATCTATTTAGTGATCTATTTGAGTGACCTCACAAAGTAATTATTCTCTAGAATCCCAGCTGTAGTATTAGAATACTATGACATGATGACTATATGATAGAACAACTGAAGGAAATTTGACAAAAGACAAAATTTTTGACCAGGTTAAAGATATATTAGGCTAACAAAATCAATGAATTGGATGTAATTAAATAAATTACCTTGCTGTTTGCTGGAATGAGTGCTCAAATCAATGAAGACTTACGGAAGTCATACTCAGTTTACTAAATCCAGTAACAGGTGCAGAAAACATAACACATTCCTGTTTTCCTTTCTTATGGCCTTTCTAGTTCAGTTTTTCAGAGAAACATCAAGTGGTTTAAAATGGCATAAGTGTAAAAGAATCTCTCCTTAGTCCATTGTTTATTGTCCAAGAGAAGAAAAAGAAATACGTAATGACAGAAAAGCAAATACATGAACAAAAACTCTGTTAACTTCCCAAATTGTCAATTTTCTTTCTGGGGCTGTTTCAAATCTCTTCTCCTTTGAGAAGACCAGGAGATAGACAGAAATTGTCTCAGTAATAGGCATAATTATGAGCAGTGCATAGTAGATGCAGGTTCGCCTTATTTTAATTCTCCTCTTTTTCTTTACTTTTTGCTTTCATTCTGTATAACAAACACCAGTCCCTTTCCCCATGATTGTACATTGACAGATGTTGGCTGTGTCAGGCAGGATTAACATACCCCTCTGGACAACCCAGAAAAACACTGGAAGAATTTCAGACAACTCCGATGTTGATTAATATTTGAGGTGAAAGATCTTTTTAAGACAGGAATAATTATCTGGCCCAGTACATTTTATCTAAGGCTCTGTCTCTTCTCAAACCACTGCAAAATAACTGCCTAGCAGTTGTTTTTGCATATTTCCAAACGACCTCACCGTTATTAACATGTTTGATGCTTTCAAATTTTCAGAGGCAGTTAGAGTAGGTTGTCATAGATCCACTGTGCAGATCGAGGATCTGGTACCTGGGGGCTAATGACGCATACAGAATCAGAAAATTGGTCAATGACGAAATTTAAATGAGGCTTTAAAAGTCCTCCTTGCCTATGGGACACACAGTCTACTAAACTCTGTTAGGGTTAGTCCCCTTCAGTTGTGCGCACCGGAATGCTCACCGAGAATGTGAATCTAAACACAGCAAATCAAGGTGTCTTCCAAAGTGCAATTCAGAAAAGCTGGACAGGGGCCAGAAAAAGAAATGATGAAACACAGGCAAGAAGAGGCCTGCTAGGGAAATAGCTAGCAACAATTTTAAGGAAGGACTAAGTGGTTCTTAAATCAAGAGCAGAAGAAATGAGCCTGGCTCATGGCAGTCAGCTGGAGGAGGAAGGGAGATTCATTCCCTTGTCTCAGCAGACTCCAGGACAGTGGGGATGACACCATAGTCCTCCTGAGGACGCTCAGCAAGGAGCACATCACTAATCTGTGATGCTTTGGACCTGAAACACCGGAACATCTCACGCTGGAGACGGGCCGGTTGAAAGAGGCAGTCAGGGGCGGTGTGATTCGGGAGGTTGTGCTCTTGTTCCTGGCTCTTCCCTGCACATTCTGCTTCCTAACTTCCAGGGTCAAGGACCTTTTATTCTGCCAACCAAACTGCAAGCCAGAATAAACCTGTTCTTCTTTAGGGTGTCAGTGTAGGGTGTTCTGCTTCCATGACTG